ATACAGTGAGGAAAATAAGTATTTGAACACCCTGCGACTTTGCAAGTTCTCCCACTTAGAAATCATGGAGGGGTTTGAATTTTTTATCTTAGGTGCTTGTCCACTGTGAGAGACATAATCTAAAAGAAAAATCCGGAAATCACAATGTATGATTTTTTTAATAATTCATTTGTGTGTTACTGCTGCAAATAAGTATTTAAACACCTGCCAATCATCAACAGTTCTGGCCCTCAAAGACCTGTTAGTCCTCCTCTGTAACGTCCACCTCCACTCCACTTATTATTCTAAATTAGAAGCACTTGTTTTAGGTCGGTAGCTGCATAAAGACACCTGTCCACCCCACACAATCAGTAAGTCTCCAACTACTAACATGGCTAAGACCAAAGAGCTGTCCAAAGACACCAGAGACAAAATTGTAGACCTCCACAAGGCTGGAAAGGGCTACGGGGCAATTGCCAAGCAGCTTGGTGAAAAAAGATCAACTGTTGGAGCAACTATTAGAAAATGGAAGAAGCTAAACATGACTGTCAATCTCCCTCGGACTGGGGCTCCATGCAAGATCTCACCTCGTGGCGTATCAATGATCCTAAGAAAGGTGAGGAATCAGCCCAGAACTACACGGGAGGAGCTGGTCAATGACCTGAAGAGAGCTGGCACCACTGTTTCCATGGTTACTGTGGGTAATATACTAAGACGTCATAGTTTAAAATCATGCATGGGCCTGAAGGTTCCCCTGGTTAAATCAGCACACGTCCAGGCCTGTCTTAAGTTTGACCATGACCATTTGGATGATCCAGAGGAGTCATGGGAGAAAGTTCTGTGGTCAGATGAGACCAAAATAGAACTTTTTGGTCTTAATTCCACTCGCCGTGTTTGGAGGACGAAGAATGATGAGTACCATCCCAAAAACACCATCCCTACTGTGAAGCATGGGGGTGGAAGCATCATGTTTTGGGGGTGTTTTTCTGCACAAGAGACAGGACGACTGCACTGTATTAAGGAGAGGATGACCGGGGCCATGTAGTGAGAGATTTTGGGGAACAACCTCCTTCCCTCAGTTAGAGCATTGAAGATGAGTCATGGCTGGGTCTTCCAACATGACAATGACCCAAAGCACACAGCCAGGAGAACCAAGGAGTGGCTCCGTAAGAAGCATATCAAGGTTCTGGAGTGGCCTAGCCAGTCTCCAGACCTAAACCCTATAGAAAATATTTGGAGGGAGCTCAAACTCTGTTTCTCAGTGACAGCCCAGAAACCTGGATGATCTAGAGAAGATGCGTGTGGAGGAATGGCCCAAAATCTCTGCTGCAGTGTGAGCACACCTGATGAAACACTACAGGAAACCTTTGACCTCTGTAACTGCAAACAAAGATACTGTACCAAATATTAACATTAATTTTCACAGGTGTTCAAATACTTATTTTCAGCAGTAACACACAAATAAATTATTAAAAAATCATACATTGTGATTTCCGGATTTTTCTTTTAGATTATGTCTCTCACAGTGGACAAGCACTTAAGATGAACGTTTCAGGCCCCTCCATGATTTCTAAGTGGGAGAACGTGCAAAGTCGCAGGGTGTATAAATACTTATTTTCCTCACTGTATATATATATATATATATATATATATACACATACGTATATATATATATACATATATATATACATACCCATACATATATATATACAAACATCCACCCAAGAACACGGTCACACGTTGGACCTCGTTTTAACACGCGATGTCTCTGTTTCTAATTTGAAAATCGGTGACAATGTTTTTTCAGATCACATGCCTGTATTGTTTGACTTCACCCCCCCTTGTCATACTGCTAAGACGTGCGTTCCTGCACTTACGTGTTCCATTAACCATTTCACTGCCTCTCGTTTTAATGAAGGTTTTAATTCTGAGAGGATCGAACAGTTTCCGGTGTCTCTTACCACTGAAGAGCTAACCTCTCAGTTCAACTCTGCCTGTTTAAATGTTCTGGACCGTGTTTGCTCCCCTTAAGACCAGAAAAACGAAACTTAAATCAGAGCCTTGGCTGAATGACGTCATGCGAGCCGTTAGGCGGCAGTGTTGCAGAGCTGAACGAAGGTGGAGGAAGGACAGGCTGCAGGTTTTTTTTCAACTGTTAAGGGAGAGTTGGCGGCACTATCAGAAAACCGTTAAAGCTGCCAAATGTAAATTATTCTCTTATTTAATTGTCTCCAACTCCCACAACCCCCGAGTTCTCTTCTCCACC